TCTATTTTGGGTCTCGGCCCTTGGGTTTGAGCTCAGTGTTCCTGGCTGTTATGTTTGCTCCCACACCTTGTCCCTCGGTTTTCGGTCTGTTCTGACTGTTTCCCTGGGGGTTCTGTCTGGGGGCTGTGCTTTGCCTCTCTGTGGTGTTCCTCCGCCGGCAAATGTAGTGGTTTGGGCTCCCCCTGGTTCGATTCCAAGTTCCTTTGGGTTCTTTGGTTTAGTTCCGGACGTTTCTTCCTTTTGGGCCTCCTTTGTGGGTTCAGGGGGCTTTGTTTCCTCGTGTGACCCGGTTCTGCCTTCTGGAGTTCCGGGGTCTTCCTGGCTTGCAGACTGATCTTTTTGGGTCTTGGCACATGTTGTGGTCATGCTGGGACTTTGAGGTTTTGTTGTCGAGGTGGGCCTTTTGATGCAGTTTTGTGCCTTCTTTGCCTGGCCGGCGTGGTGCTCTCTGCCCACTGGTCGGTGGCTTGTACTTTTCTTTTAAAGTGTATGTGTGTGTGTGTACGCATGTACATGTGTACGCTGTGTGTATGTGCACATGTGTATACACACACGTGTGTGTTACATACCTTGTGTGTATGTTTATATGTATATGTATGTGTATATACGTAATGTGTATGTGTACTTTTTCTTTCAGAAGGGGCTCTGTTCCCTTCTCTGTTGATGGGGAGCTTTGGAAGCAACTTGCTCCGTGGACTCTCGCATGGTCCTGCTGTTGGTGGGCACTTTTGGTTGTCTTCCAGCCTCTGGTGGTGTCGGTGGATGGCTTCTCCCCCTGTGGGGGTGGGGGTTCAGAGCTGGCGGGATGGGCTTCTTCCCCTGCGCTTCGCCATGTCATCTTAGTGGGTGCGTTGGACGTGGTCGATCCACCCCATCCCTCTGGGGTTCCCGTCTGCTCTTTGCAGTCATGGGCCTTTTGCATCTGCGGTTCTTCTGGACTTCTTCAATCTGCGCCCTGGATTCTATGCCCTCCTTGGAGGACTGTTGTCTCCTGTCCGGCTTCTGTTGGGGCCGGGTGCCTGGATGGTGGCCCTGGACCTCCAGGTCAATTCTTGGCACGTTCCTCTCCAGTTTTCTGGAACTGGCACAGTTGGTGGTGGCTTGCTGCTTTTGTTGCCTTCCCTATTTTGTAATTGGCACTTGGTGTTTTTTTGAATCTTTACCGGATCTTGGTGCCCTGTCTGAGTCTGCTTGAGATTTAGTGTCTGGCCTACCTCGACGACTGGCTGGTGTGGACTCCCAGTCGGTCCGCTTGTCTGCTCGCCAGGGGTGTGGTTCTTTCCAGATCGCTGGGTTTGGTTTCCTGGTGATCTGGAGGCCATTCCATCTGTTTCCGTCCCGGGTTCAGACCTGGGCCTTGTTTAGGGCTATTGGGCCACTCCTTGTCTTTCCCTCCAGAAGTTTTACTGCGGCTGTGGTCCCGCCTTCGGCTGTTCATGAGGGGGTCCCGGGTTGCTCAACGGTTGCTTGAGCGGTTGTGCGGGAGTCTGAACTTCGACGTGCTGGTCTGCCCGCGGGGTCGGGTTGGGCTTTGTTGTGTGTTTGGTTCCTTCGGTGACTCCCCTTCCGCCTCTTGCAATCATTGAGTTCGATCCTCCGGGGATCTTGTGTTGGTGCTGCATCACCAGCTTCCTCTTTGGGGTTTTCGGGGTTCCGTGCCTTGGCACCTCCCCGAGCCTTCGCTTGATGTGTTCACGGACGGGTCATCTCTCGGCTGGGGCTTTATGACCAGTGCTCACCAGGACGGCCGGGGATGGTGGAGTCTGTCCGTCCGTCGGGCTCACAGCATGGTTCGGGAGTTCGTGGCTGTCTGGTTTGCGCTTCGGAGGGTTTGGGTCACTCGGTACTCTACAATTCGGCTCCGTTCAGACTGTTCTCTGGCGATTCTTGCCAGAACCACAGGGTTTCTCTTAGGTGTTGACGTTTGGGGTTAGTTCCTTAGAGTGGCTCGTTTGCTGGATTCTCGGGGTTTGGCCAACCATGAGGTTCATGTCCGGGGTGTGTCCTGCGTCCTGGCGGACAGCTGTCTCGGTTCATTCCTCTGTTCGCGGATTGGCCAGTCGTCGCCGACTCGGTTTGTTGGCTCTGTCGGACGTATGGACTCCTGGCCATGGACGTCTTCGAGTCGGCGTGGTCTAGGCGCTGCCCATTCTATGTGGCGCCCTTACCCACCTGCAAAGCGTTCACGGTGGATGCTTTTCGGTAGGACTGGTCGAGGTGGTGGTACCTGTTCCTCTTCTCCCGGGTCCAGCTGTTGCTTCGGGTTGTGGCTCGGTTGCAGCCCATCCCACGAGAGCAGTCCTTATGGTTCCGTGGTGGCCGGCCCAGCTTTATTTTCAGACGCTGCTTGATAGGTGCCCAAACCCGGAGCATTTTCCCGCGGCTCCGCCTCTTTCGGCAGGTCGGATCGGTCCTGTACATGACTGGTTCGGCTTTCTCTTCGGCTCTTCGCGTCTGGTATTTTGACGTGGGTATCACCATCTCTGTGGTGTTCAGGTGGCTTTGTTGATGGTGTCCCACCTGCGAGCTTCGTCTTGGCGACAGTATAACGTTCCTGGTGTTTCTATGCACTTTTTCTTGCTCTTCGTAGGTTGTTGTCTCTTACGCATTGAGTTGTCTTGTCCTTTCTTGGGTTTTCAGGACTACAGTTTTTTTATGTTTTTACTGTCGCCTCGTTTTGTGCGGCGCTGGCGGAGCCGCTCCAGCTTGCGTTCAGGGTGAACGTCACATCTGCTTCGTTTCGTACGCTTTCTCGTGTTTTGTGTTCGGGGTGGACGTCACATCTGCCCCGTTTCGTACGCTTTCTCATGTTTTGTTTCACCTTCGGCCTGCTCATGCGTCGCCTGAGCTGTCCTGGTCCTTGATCAGGGTGCCTTCTTATCTTCTCTTCAGTTTGTCGTAGCCCCTTCGGTTCAGGTTTCTGCTCTTTGGTACTGGTGGTAGATTTGTACGTGTGCAGCCTTTCTCCGTCCTGGCGACGGTCGAGACGTCTGCTTTCTGGAGAGGTTCTTGGGTTATTGATGCTTGATTGGTTTGGCCAGGGGTGCGTCCTGTGTTGTCCGGTTGCACTTTTTGCCGTTACCTGCGTACCGTGTCTGGGGATGCGCTGTGGTTGATCCGGTTCCCCTCGTTCCCTGTTTTCAGGGCTCAGGTCTCCCAGATTGTCCGCAGTTTTTTTTCAGTCTTCCAGCCTGTGCTCTGTCTTTGCGCCTGTGCTGTTTTGACGTTTGCAGCTTTTGCTGCTGTGTTGGTGATGTCTAGGGCTCATTTCGGGCGCAGGGATTTGAGGGTCGCACAGGTTCTTGGCCACCCATTCTTTATGAGCGTCTGCTCCTGTTCGTTCTTGTTGCCTTGGGTCGCAGGTTGCAGCCTGTTGTCTCATGCTTCGCGTTGCAGAGTTTGTGGCGGCCGCCTCCCGTGTTTGCTGTTTCTTTTCCTTCTCTTTGGGTATGAAGCTCTAGGGAGCCATAGGGGCTCCTCACAGAAAACCAACGTTGAATATAATGAAACGCCATTTTCTGGGTGAGCCCCAGAGGCTCCCTGGCAACCCTCCCTCCCACCGGTCGGAGTTTTTTTCGCGTTGGTTGAAGCTTAGCTTCCGAACTGAAGCTTGGCAGCCGGCGCGGTAGGTCCGGGGCTTCCCCTTCCCCCTCTTGGGGCGGGGAGGGCTATGCGGACAATCGGCGTGGCAGTAAAGTGTGATGTTTGCTTGTTTCCTTGTGATTGTAGGGAGTTTCTACCTCTCTTCGTTTTTTTGTTTTAGTTTTTTACCATGTGGGGTTTGTTTTTTTATGCCTACCTTTCTGGGTGCCTAACCCCGGTCGATGGCAGATAAGGAAAACTCCAACCACAAAGGGGTTTTCCAGGGCCATTGCTCCCTGAAACCTCTCTGAAGGGGCCAGGTTCTGGCGCTGGTCCCTGGTAGGTCTGAACTCCTTAGCTAATGTTCCGGTCTAATATAACATACATTAGCCCGATAAGCTCCAAGGAGCCTCCGGGGCTCACCCAGAAAATGGCGTTTCATTACATTCAACGCTGGTTTTTTGCGTGTTTTTGACATCCAGCCTAAGTAATGTTGGTTGTATCGCCAGCACAAGGGTCTAGGGCTTGCTCTTCCCCCTCCCAGGGATGTGGGAGCTGTGCAGACGGCGGCGCTGCACGTGGTGATGTCAAGCTCGTTTGCTCGTTTTTCTTTGGGAGTTCTGTCCACAAGTTTGAATTTCTTTAGTAGTTTCAACCAGAATAAGGGTTTGTTTTGGGATGCTTACCTTTCTGGGTGCCTAACGCGATCGATGGCAGACATAGAATGGGGTCCCTGGTAGGCACGAACTCCTTGCACATTGACTGATGCAAGAAAGTTGTACATATCCACATCAGCCTGTATAGCTCCCGGGAGCTTCCAGGACTCGGGCAGAAAATGGAGTTTCATTACATTCAACTCGAGTTTTTTTCAGTACTCCTCATACTCCATTGTAAACTATTATTGATAGGAAAAACTAATATTGGGTTTAAGCAATTTTAAATTGTGGATATGGCTGGCAGCATTCTGGATCAAGTACGCTCTAAGGATTAAAGCTTTTTGGATGAATGTGTCTTTCACTTCATCTGCTCCTGGTTCATTCCATTTAACATGGTTACTCTACATAAATACTTTTGTTCACCTCTGACTCATTTGTTTATATTTTCCATCTGTGGCCCCTTGTTGTGTGGAAAAGTGGATCCCTGTCCGCCTCATCTCTAGCTCTCGTTATCTTGTTCATTTGCAATCATATCTCAGGTCATTCTCATTTTCTAGTGCTGTTAAATTAAGTTCCTCTCCTTATAACTTTGTATCTTGATTAATGATTGATGAGTAATATCTGATTGTTGTTTAATTAGTGTAATGCATAATTAGTTAATTGAAATTTTTTGCAGTATTTGTGTATTGCAGTTTGTTTGGCTTCTCATCCCTGTTTACATTTACTTGAGGTGCATCTACTGTACTATGTTTTATTTTTCAGGTACCCCAGTACAGAATAGTTCGCAGCATGTGCTACTTCCTGGAGTCACAGCTGTAATAAGCTGGGCTGATGCAGCAGAAAGAGCCAACTTCTCAGTCTTTGCTAGCATTAAAGAAGAAGCCAGCGACCTTGACACAGCTCTTGAGTCTACTGTAGACAAGGAGGTAAAAACACACACAATCAGCTTACCATTGGAGGTTTGTTATGTTGCTTGGTTATCATGTTGCTGTTATGTGTGTTGCTTGGTTATCATGTTGCTGGTGTGTAAGTTGCTTGGTTATCATGTTGCTGTTATGTGTGTTGCTTGGTTATCATGTTGCTGGTGTGTAAGTTGCTTGGTTATCATGTTGCTGTTATGTGTGTTGCTTGGTTATCATGTTGCTGGTGTGTAAGTTGCTTGGTTATCATGTTGCTGGTATGTATGTTGCTTGGTTATCATGTTGCTTGGTTATCCTGTTGCTGATATACCTTGCGATGATTTCGGGGCTTAGCGTCCCCTCAGCCCGGTCCTTGATCAGGCCTCCTCGTTGGTGGACTGGTCAACCAGGCTGTTGGACGCAGCTGCTCGCAGCCTGACATATGAATCATAGCCTGGTTAATCAGGTATTCTTTGGATGTGTTTATCAATTTCTCTCTTGAACACTGCATAGATTGGCCAGTTATGCCCTTATGTGTAATGGAAGTGTGTTGAACAGTCTCAGGCCTCTGATGTTGATAGAGTTCTCTCTCAGAGTACCTATTGCACCTCTGCTTTTCAATGGGGGTACTCTGCACATTCTGCCATGCCTTCTGGTCTCATGTGCTGTTATTTCTGTGTGCAGGTTTGGGACCAGCCCCTCTTAATATTTTCCTTGTGTAAATTATTATGTATCTCTCCCGCCTGCGCTCAAGAGAAAACAGATTTAGGCATTTTAGTCGGTTCCAATAGTTTAGATGTTGTTTCGACTTTGAGTTGAGATGTGAGCACCGACCGCCTCCCAGGTAAGTCCCTCTGTTTTTGTCTTTGGTGAAGTAGCTCTGGGGAGCCGAAGAGGCTCCCCCAGAAAACCAGCATTGAATGTAATGAAACGCCATTTTCTGGGTGAGTCCTGGAGGCTCTCTGGCAACCCTCCCTCCCTCCCTCCCTCTCTCCCTCCGTTCGGTGGTTTTTGTGTGTTTTTGACATCCAGCCTCTGGAATGGTGGTTGGATCACCGGCATGGGGGTCTGGGGCTTACAGCGCTGCTCGTGTGATGTCATGCTTGTTTGCTCGTTTTCATTTGGGGAGTTCTGTCCACTAGTTGGTCTATTTTAGTCGTTTTAACCAGAATAGGGGTTTGTTTTGAGGTGGTTACCTTCTGGGTGCCTGTCCCGATCGATGATAGATATAGAATGCTCCAAATCCCATGTGAATTTCTAAAGGCCATTGCTCCTCGTGCCTCTCTGAGGGGGCCAGGTTCTGGCCGTGGTCCCCGGCAGGTCTAGAACTCCATTCACACTGACTGGTGCCAAAGTTTAGGGATATACATATCAGCCTGGATAGCTCCGGGGAGCCTCCGGGACTCGCAAAGAAAATGGCATTTCATTACATTTGTAACGAAAATCTGTAAGAGAGCAGTGACAATTCTGTCTGGTGTTGTGCTTATCGCACAGTAATAAAAAAAAGTGAAACAAAGAAAAAACTGCTTGTGTCCTCTGCGGTGCGAGAGCTGCGAGTAAAAGCAAAGATAATAAAAACTTCTAACATTTAATATAACAAAAAAGACTTTAATAACTCAAAAAATAATAAGTAATAATTAATGAAAAACAAGACCCCCAAACACTTAGCTTTTACACAAGATCAAAAAGAAATATAAATACAGGTGAGTTTTTACATTAATCAAAAATGGGTGCAAATGACTATACAAAATTTGTAAGCATCTACTGTCTCCTGGGGAGGCGAGAGTAGATGTTACAGCTGAGAGCATGAAGTGTATTGTGGTGATTGGACGCCGGCGAGCTGTATGTATATGGGTGAATGTCTTCAGAGATGGCGCGAATCTTGTAGGTAACCATCGGCTGGCAGTTAAACAAGCAGTTAGCGAGTGGCGTCTGGGCTCCTGCCCAGACAGCAGGTGTCCAGGTGTCTCGGGTACTATAAGGGGGAGAGAGGAGGGGGTCTGTCTAGACACCCAATACGTTTGAGCACGAATTGCTGTTGTCGTCGTTGTTGAAGCATGCTGATACCCTGGTGAATAGGCAGTAGAGGGAACAGGCAGGATCTACTGCCTAAGCAGGAGATTACCATAACACATTCAACACTGTGTTCTTTTTAAATGGCATCTGTTTACATGAGCACAGAGGAAGCTGATGTGAACTTCGTTTAGCTGCGGGACATTTAAATCGTGTGTGGTACCCTCAGTCGCCTATGTATGATGTGCGCAATTCTGTGACAGTTACTCCCAACGCCTATGCAAGTATAGTGCAGCCTAAGGGTTAATGCATGCTTGTTCGCTCCTGTGCTTCCTCGGGATGTTGCCCACATGCAGCTACACGTGCAGGTTCCCTCCCTTTCGGCGTCTTTGGTTGCTGAGGACTTGCTCGCCCATGGGCATTTGGCTTCAGTCTTGCGTTTCTTTTTCCTTCTTGAGCTGTCCTTGGACTGGCTTGAGAATGATGTGGAGGCGTTGAGTGCTGGGCCTTCATCTGGGGCGCTAGCTACGGTGGCTAGGGCATCAGCCGCAGTGCTGAAGCTGTTTGCACCAATCTTGAGGAGGCAGTGTCTCTGTTCTTTGCTTCTCGCCTCACGTGCCAGGAGGCTATGCTCGCTCTTTGGAATTCGCTTGGGCCCTGGCTCTTCGGTTTTTGTCGCCATATTGTCTGTTCCAATTTATGGAGACTGTTGTCAAGCAGTTTCTGCATAACAATATCTCCTTTGTTATGTCCATTCATCCACTTGTACACCTCTTATCATGTCACCTATAATTCTTTGACTTTCTAGAGAATGTAATTTGAGCTCTGTCAGTCTTAATTCATATGATACGTTTCTAATTTGCGGAATTAACTTGTCATCCTACGCTGGATGCATTCTTGTTAATTTATATCCTTTCTATAGTATGGCGACCAAAGCTAAACTGCATAATCTAAATGGGGCCTAACCAGAGCAAGATATAGCTAAAGAACAATACCAGGTGTCTTATTACTAATACAGTGGTACCTCGCATAACGATTGCCCCAAAAGACGAATATTTTGGGTAACGAACGGCCCGATCGGCGTCAAATCATCCCGTATGACGAACGCTGGTTTAAGTAACGTCAACACCACATGGTGGGGTCGCGCTGCTTCTTGCACATTCTTAGACGCCTCCGACGATGCACATAAATTATGTTGTTCTTGTTTAAAGATGCTAATGATGCTCGGATATAAAAGGGTGACTACTGAGATGTTGCAAAGCATTGAAGTTTTTGTAGGAAAAAAGAAATGAAATGTCTGATATACAACAAATGTCAAAAAAGTTCGTTTGGTGTTCGGCAGGTAGGCTGCTCCATTATAACAATCTTTCTTTGTTTCAAATGTGTTCCATTTGTTTTTTATTTGTCATTTATGTCTCAATAATGGAGAAGTCTACCTTACATACACTGAATAAACCATTATGACATTTTCCTTTCTTCAAATGTGTTCAATATTTATTTTTCATTTGTCTTATAGCAAAAGGTTCGTTTGGTGGTCGGCAGGTAGGCTGCTCCATGTTTCTTACATACAAAAAACGTAAATAATAAAAAAAAATGAAGAATTTTGAAAACCAGTACAAATGTCAAAAAGGTTCGTTCGGTGGTCTACAGGTCGGCTGCTCCATGTTTCTTAAAAAAAAAAAAAAAAAAAAAAAACTGTTGAAACAATTTGAAAAATGGACAAATGTCATAAAGGTTCGTTCAGTGTTTGTCGGGTAGGCTGCTCCATTATTGAGACGTAAGTGACAAATACAAAACAAATGGAACACATTTGAAACAAAGAAAGATTGTCATAATGGATCAGCCTACCCAACAAACAGTGAACGAACCTTTTGCTATAACGAATATGAAAGACAAGGGCTGCTGGCTGGGTTAGTAGTGCGTGAGCAACCATTTGTGGCACACGTGCCTCTGGCTCTCAAACACCTGTCCCACACGGTGTTGAAAGACTGCTCAGTCGGTGCAATTCAGACCCTATTGTTTGAAGAACATAAGGGTCATAACATTGGTGAAGCTAGGCGCAATAAGGGCTTAACACAACAGTCGGATGCCAGTGATACAGCACCTATGAGGATGATACAGCGAGCGTATCCAGGTGTAGCTCTGAGCCCCACCCTTGCCATCTCTAATGTATATAGATGATACATAGATGAATCGTTTTCTGCGTTCAGTGATGATGCATCTGATACAAGTAGCATAGATGAACAGTGTTAGCGGCTTCCATGGTAGTGGTGTTCATTGATATTTTCAAGAATACCTGAATCTTTTCCTGACTGATGGACACTCTTTGAGGCTAGCTGAATCTCTTTCTGACTGATGGACACTCTTTGAGGCTAGCTGAATCTCTTCCTGTGTGGGACCTTACAAAGTGATCTTTTCAAGACTACCTTACAAATTGAGCTTTTCCTATAATCGTTTTAATACTACTTTATGCTTTACAAGCTTGGCTACATACCACCTACAAGTACTAAAGCCAAGGGTGCACACGAGTGCGTTATTTGCAAGCACACAGAACGATGAAACAGGAAACAAAAATCTATCTGTAGCTGGTGCAAGGAGAGCAAAGTCGCGCTGTGTACCATGGACTACTTTGTTGACTATTATGCACCTCCAAAGTACTGAGTGTGTAATACAGTGTGTTACTGTGTAAATAGTATGTGAAACTGTACATATTGTAATATTAGTGAATTTTTACCATGTAATATTGTGACAATAAACATTTATTGTGGACACATTACTGACACATGTATCACAGTTTCATGGAAAATTATGAACATTCTACTGTATTCATATTGTAAAGGTCACAAATATGCATCATATACGATAAAAGAAACAAATAAAACCGCATTGGAAATGCATAGAAAAAATATTTGAAAATATATTTGTGGCAACACGCGGTGCTTGAATGGCCTGCGCGACCGTGTCTGGGAGCTTCACACATGGGCGACCAGCCCCTGATGACGTCACAGCGCACCTTGTCCACGCCCTCACAGCCAAAGTAAGTGGAATTTGGTAATTATTTTTACATAGACATGTTCAGGGACGGTAATTTATCATTTTACAAAGAAAAATTATATTTTGGGGAACATTTGATGTCATGCACACTAGGGAAATTTCACAATAAACACAGTGCATCACACTGGTTACATGGGGGACACTCGTTTTGTATGACGTCCGTTTCACATGACGAACATGGAACGGATTAAATTCGTTATGCGAGGTACCACTGTATTTCGATAAATAAATCCCAGTGTCCAATTTGCCTTATTACAGATATTTATGCATTGATTTTTTTGGTTTTAAATTTTTACTAATCATAACTTCCAGATCCCTTTTGCAATCTGACTTTGCAATCTCAACACCATCTAGCTCGTATCTTGTAACTCTATCATCGTTAATATGTGCTATATTAGTTTCGGGTCATCAGTCACGGGAGTTCTGTGCCCTTACAGAGACCACGAGCCAGTACCTGGTCCTCTCAGAGAGACGCAGGGAGTAATGGTCATATGAGCACTCTATATTTAGAGTTTGTCATTCCTGCCATCGACCATCCTACCATCGTGGAGGAAGAGCTTGGACACAGGGGAGATACCAGATGCACTGAAAGCAGCAGACATTGCCCCTCTGCACAAGGGTGGTAGCAAAGCATTGGCAAAGAATTATAGACCAGTTGCACTAATGTCCCATATAATAAAAGTATTTGAGAGAGTGATCAGGATTCAGGTCACTAGATTCATGGAAACCAATGACCTCCACAATCCAGGCCAACATGGATTTAGAGCAGGAAGATCATGCCTCTCACAGCTACTTGACCATTATGACAAAATCACTGAGGCATTAGAAGAAAAACAGAATGCAGATGATGTATACACAGACTTTGCAAAAGCATTCGACAAATGTGACCATGGAGTGATTGCACACAAAATGAGGTCAGTGGGTCTAACTGGTAAAGTAGGATGCTGGATACTCAATTTCCTGTTGAACAGAACACAAAGAGTAACAGTCAATCAAGTAAAATCGAGTCCGAGTGCAGTTAAAAGCTCTGTACCTCAAGGTATAGTCCTTGCACCACTGCTGTTCCTTATTCTCATATCAGATATAGACAAAAATACAAGTCACAGCTTCATGTCATCTTTTGCAGATGATACAAAAATCAACATGAAAATTACCTCTGCTGAAGATATTGAAAAACCACAAACAGACATTAACAAAGTTTTCGATTGGGCAGCAGAAAATAACATATATTTAATGGTGATAAATTCCAGGTACTCAGATACTGCAAAAATGAGGATCTGAAACATAATACAGGGTACGAAACACAATCGAATCTGCCCATAGTAGGAAAACAGCATGTCAAGGATTTGGGAACAATGATGTCCGACGACCTAATCTGTATGGAGCATAACAAAGCAAGTATTGCGTCAGCCAGAAAAATGATAGGATGGATTTCGAGAACCTTCAAGTCCAGAGATCCCATCACAATGGTTGTACTCTTCAAATCACTTGTGTTGTCCCGTCTTGAGTACTGCTCAGTACTCACTTCCCCCTTCAGAGCAGGAGAGATTGCTGAAATAGAGGAAATACAGAGAACATATATGGCACGCATAGACGAGATAAAGCACCTAAAGTATTGGGATCGTCTCAAAGCTCTCCAAATGTACTCACTAGAAAGGACGCGAGAAAGATACCAAATAGTATACACATGGAAAATACTGGAGGGACAGGTCCCAAATCTACACTGTAAAATAACAACGTAGTGGAGTGAACAATATGGAAGAAAATGCAGAATAGAACCAGTGAAGAGCAGAGGTGCCATAGGCACAATCAGAGAACACTGTATAAACATCAGAAGTCCACAGTTGTTCAACATCCTACCAGCGAGCATCAGAAATATTGCCAGAACAACCGTGGACATCTTCAAGAGAAAACTAGATTGTTTTCATCAAGGAGTGCCGGATCAACCGGGCTGTGATGGTATGTGGGCCTGCGGGCCGCTCCAAGCAACAGCCTGGTGGACCAAACCCTCACAAGTCAAGCCTGGGCTTGGGCCAGGCTAGGGGAGTAAAAGAACTCCCAGAACCCCATCAAGCAGGGCCGGGAAGGGCACCCAGAAATATACGCGAAACAATACAAACCTTCACCTCGTAAAAATTGCAACCTATATCCGAACAGAGCCAAAGAACTCCTCCCCCCCCCCCCCCCCCCCCCAAAAAAAAAAATAACCAGCAAATCGTAATCCAACTAGCATGCCCACTTGTTAACCCATTCCCCTCTCCCAAAAGGGGGGCATGGGAGACCGCTCAGGCGTGCCGATGGCTCACCCTTTCAGCTCTTGATTGATGTGCCTGGTGGTCAGACGTCACCTCTGGCCTCGCTTTCCTGTGCTGGATTTTGCCCTGTAAGGCTGTACCAGCAGCGTGTGGTGTGGTGGCCAGGTGTTCTTGGCACTCGGGGGCTGCATGTGCCTACGGTGATCTTCCCTTGGTGCTCTGTAAGAACTTTCCTTGGGTTTTAGGCTTATCTTTCCTGAGGCATTCGAGTCTCATTTCCGTTTGAGGGCTTCAGTGCTTGGCACTGTTCTCACTCTTGGGGTATGTCAGGGGCCTTGGGTTTTCCGTCTTGGCCCGGATAGGGAGTTGGTTTTGCTGGGTGGTGCGCACTGTGGCTGGCGCAGCTTTTACTAGTGGCGGTCAACAATTCTCTATGGTGGCCAGTTGTTTTGTGTGTGTTGTTTCTGTTTTTTTTTTTTTTTCAATTTTAACGAGTTCGCATGGGTTTGGTGGAGGAGGTCTATCTAGTTTCCCATTAGGCCTGCCTAGCTTCTCATTAGGCCTGCCTAGGTTGTGTTAGAAGTCCGACTGGCTCACGGAGGATGTGGGGGCGCTTGGGGCTGTTCCTGGATCTGGCGCCTTGGCTTTGGTAGCTTGCTCGTCGGCTGCCTTGCCGAAGCTTTTTGCGCCGATCTTGCGGGATGTTTTATGCTTCCCGGCTCGCGTGTCGGCAGATGGTGCTTCCCTCCTCTGTGGAATCCGCTTGCGCCTTGGCTCTTAGGATGTCTTCCCCTTTTTGTCCTCTCTAGTTTGAGGCTGCCGCCATTGAGCAGTATATTCAGGCTGCTTCGGCTTCTTGCCGTCTTATGTCGTACTTGCTGATTCTCCGGGGTTCCTGTGGTGGACCTTCCCGGAAGGGTCGTGCCAAGGCTTGGGGTTCCTCTTGTCGTGGTAGGCCACTGGTGTCAGGTTTCGGGTTCGGTTCCTCCTACGGACCCGACTCGTCTGGTCGGCGCGGTGTTCGCTCTGTGCGAGGTTCTGGGTCTCATAAGGGGCGCCGGCCCTTTTGCGGTTCGCCCCATTGACAGGGCGATGGGGCGGAGGCTTGTGCTGTTCACTCACACCTGGTCCCACGATTTGTGGGCGTTTCCGGTTTTTTCGCACAGCCTCCGGTGGCGTTGGGTGGGCCTGGGTGGGCCCCTCCCCCCTAGGGGGATTCAGGGCTGGCAGGGCAGGCTTCTTTCCCTGCGGGGGAGTTCGGGGTTTGTTTTGGGACGCCTACCTTTCTGAGGTGCCTAACCCGGTCGATGACAGACATAGAATGCTTCCAATCACACAGGGTTTCTATAGGCCATTGCTCTCCTTGCCTCTCTAGAGGGTGGCCAGGTTCTGGCTCGTGGTCCCCAGTAGGCCCATAGAACTCCATACACACATGGCTATGTGTATGGAGACACATGACTGATGCCACAGTCTGACATTAGCATATCAGCCTAGTAATAGTAAGCTCTGGGGACCCTCCGGGGCTCACCCAGAAAATGGCGTTTCATTACATTCAATGTTTTTTTTTTTTTTTATTATTATTATATCCATGCACGAGGGAATATGTACAGAATATTGGCCTGAGGGTTAAGTTTTCATTTAAAAAATGAAGATTATTTAAAAAAAAAAAATACATAGGAGAATGAATTTGAAATGGGTTTTAATGTTTCCTGGAACTACCTGTGTTGTGGATTTTGGTTCATGGATATTTGTATCTTCTTTTACAGGATGAGATTGACATTGAACTCTCTTCAGTACCAGCAGACGGCTCCCAGTCCATTGATGGCAGTGTTAAACTTCAAGTAAATCCTAAGGCGAACTTACACCTACTACTGTCCAGACAGGTCAGTCGAGTTGATTCATTGAGTTAGGAAAAGTTTTTGAGAATGACTTACTGTGTTATACTGACCACAGTATGTATTGCATGTTAGTAATAACTCAGAGATCCATTTTGGAATGGGATTATGAGCTATATTTGTCTTTTACATTTGTATTAACCTTCATGCTGTGCAGCTTTTATTGTGACATTCTGGTGGTGAGCAGAAATTGAAGTGTTCCCCAAAAATCTTTTCATTGTAAATTGTTAAAATCCCTTCCCTGAACATGTACATGTAAACAAGTATATATAAAACTACTTACTTTGGCTGTGGTGACGTAGAGATGTTGCAATGTGATGTCATCAAGACGTGTTCAGGAAGTGCAGGAAGCTCCCAGAGGCGGTCGCGCGGGTGATTCAAGACTCTGGAGTTACCACGAATATATTTTTACTTAATTTTTTACTGCTTTCTAGTTATTTTCTGTGGGAGTCCCGTCTGGTCTCTGGAGGTATCTGACTGATATTAGCTATATTAGTCTGGGGCTTCAGACTAATGGCGGGGCGTGGAGGACGGCTCTGCCCCAAAGCCTAGATTTGAGGCTTCTGGGGCTGGGGGGCGGGCAGTCGGCTTGGGGCGCTTGGACCCTGTTCAATCCTAGCCTTGGTGCCCTCGGGGTGAGATTTATTGTTGAAACGTTCGGGAAACGTCCCTGTAGTAATGGAGACCCTGACAGCTGAGTGGAGAGCGCTCAGGATTTGTAGTCCTGAGGTTCCGGGTTTGATCCCCGGTAGAGGCGGAAACAAATGGGCAGAGTTTCTTTCACCTTGATGCCTCTGTTCACCTAGCAGTAAAAAGGTACTGTACCTGGTAGTTAGACAGCTACTACGGGCTGCTTTCAGCTACTACGGGCTGCTTTCTGGGGATGTGTAACAAAAAGGAGGCCTGGTCGAAGACTGGGCTGCGGGTTGGATAACAAGAACCTTTCACACTAGAGATGCTCTACCGATGATGATACTTTTCGAGATGTTAGTGCTTTCTAGAGTGGAGTACTGCTGCACAATGACAACCCCTTTTAAAGCTGGAGAAATTGCTTACCTGGAGAGCATGCAGAGATCCTTTACTGCTAAAATCCACTCAGAAAACATCTAAAACTACTGGAAAACATCTAAACTACTGGAACCAACTAAAGAGCCTAAATCTGTATTCTCTTGAGTGCAGGTGGGAGAGATACATAATAATTTACATGTGGAAAATAATAGAGGGGCTGGTCCCAAACCTGCACACAGAAATAACATCACATGAGACCAGATGGTATGGCAGGATGTGCAGAATACCCCAGTTGAAAAGCAGAGGTGCAAAAGGTAATCTGAGAGAGACCTCTATCAACATCAGAGGCCCGAGACTGTTCAACACACTTCCACTACACATAAGGGGCATAACTGGCCAACCCATCACAGCACCTCCAAAGGATACCTGACCAACCAGGCTGTGATTCATACATCAGGCTGCGAGCAGCTGCGTCCAGCAGCCTGGTTGACCAGTCCAGCAACGAGGAGGCCTGGTCGATCCTCTTCGGCTCTCCGGAGCTATACCGGGCTGATGTGTATATATTAGACCAGGGCAACAGTTAATCGAAGGAGTTCTAAGCCTATCGGGGACCAGAGCCAGAACCTGGCCCCCTCAAAAGAAGCACGAGGAGCAATGACCTAAAGACACCCTCGTGTAATTGGAAGCAGTCTTTGTCTGCCATCTAACAGGTCAGGCACTCAGAAAGATAGGAATTTCAAAACAAACTACTGCTGGTCAAAAATTGCAAACTGAAAGCGGAACTAGCAAACAGAACTCCCCAATCAAAAACACGGAAACAAATATGACGTCACCAGAACCGCCGCGCATCCGTCTGTGCAACCTCCCCCTCCCCGGGAGGGGGACGGGGAGTCCCAGACCTCCACGCCGGCAACTCTTTTCAATTCAGAAGCTGGATATCAAAAATGCGAAAAAACGCCGACTGGAGGGAGGGATGCTGGGGAGCCTCCGGGTCTCACCCAGAAAATGGCATTTCATTACATTCAACGCAAGTTTTCTGTGGAGAGCCCCTTTGGCTTCCCGTAGCTACCTGACCAGAGATAAGAAGAAAAGGGACTCACCTGGGAGGCGGTCATCACTCGCTCCTCAACTCAAAGTCGAGACAACAGGCTGCAACCTGCAACCCAAGGCTATACATGCTCGAGAAGGACTAAGAACATTAACAAGGTAACGTGCAGCCAGGACCCTGTTTGACCTCCAATAGCCCTGTGCCCAAAAGATAGGCCAGGAAATTACCAAAACAGCAGTCGAATGCCGAACTTACGAACAGCGTGGGCACAGGGAAAGACCGCAGGCTGGCTGGACCGAATAATCCTGCGGACAACCTTGGAGACCCACGCTCTGGAATAGGAAAGAAGGGAAACTGGGTCAACCCAAAGCGCGATCTCTGCCACAGAGGCCGTAACGCGCAAAAAAAGCAGCAGACTCATTCTTCGCCAGAAAAGGAGGAGATGGCTGCCAACGAAGAAAAGACCACCAGGACCGAAAAGAGCAGAAACCCCTGCACCGGAGGAGAGCAAGAAACTCTCCGACCCAACCCCCACAGGCTAATGCCAACAAGAAAAGAGCCGTAGAAACACAGTCCTGAACCGAGGGAGCCAGCACCTGAGGAGAAGGGAGAAGAGAGCACCCAATGCTACGACCAGGACAGCTCAGGCATCACATGAGCAGGCCGGAGGTGAAAACAACGCCCAAGAAAGCTTGCAGAACGGAGCAGAAGTGACATCCACCCCAAATGCAAGCTGCAGTGGCTCCACCAGCACTATCCAAAACGAGGCAACAGTATCTGGCATAAGAAGACGGTTCTGAAACAACCAAGAGAGAAAGGGCAAAACAACCCTGCCAGAAATCGAAGGCAATCTACGAAGAGACAAGTGCCGAATAGACCCCCCGGAAATTTCATACTGCCATCGAGACGAAATTTGCAGGTGGGACACCAACTAAGCCACCTGATACCCATACAAGTGGTGATAAACCCACATCAAAAAGACCACACGCGAGAAGCAGAGAAGATCAAACCCCCTACGTTCCGGAATGGCCAATCTGCTGAAGGAGGAGCCGCTGCTGGAAGACTCTCGGGTTTGGACATCGAGCAAGAAGCGCCTGAACCACGGCTGGACCGGCCACCAAAAAGCCAACAGGACTACATCCCTGGTAAGTCTCTCTTAAGCTAACCAGGAACCAGAGCAATAACCGAACCGGTGGGAAGAGGTACAGGTAACCCCAACTCGACTAGTCCAGCTGAAAAGCATCGACCCTGATGGCTTTGCAGTTTGGGAAGGGCACCACATATACAGGAAGATGTCTCGACCAAGTCGATGCGAAGAGGTCCACCTCTAGGTGCCCGTACGTCTGGCAAAGCCAACTGAACGAGTCTGTGTCGACCGTCCGTTCCATGGATAGAGGAATGAACTGAGACAGGCTATCCGCCAGGACGTTTGACACCCCTGAACGTGAACCGCCAGGAGAGCCAAACTCCGAGAACTCAGCTAACAAATCACCTGGAGCTACCAGCCCCAAAGAGCCAAGGACCAACCAACTTCATCCCTCAAGTGCATTTCTCGCTTGTTTCCAGTGCTGAAACGGGACTGTGCAGACCATCGGTTCATTCTGGACTTGTCCTGTCTGAACCGCTGGATTCCTTGCCCCCTCTTTACGAATGAACACTCTGTCCCTGGTCCAGCTGCTTTGGAGTCGGGGTGTTGGATGGCGTGTCTAGACCTTTGGGGCGCGTATTGGCATGTCCTGATTCATTTGGGGTTCAGGGACTGGTTAGGTTTTATGGTGGGGCGACGTGCTTACTGGTTTCATTGCCTTCCTTTTGGCTTGAAACTGGCACCTTGCTTTTTCACGCATCTTACCCGGGTCATGGTGACCCGTCTGCGTCTGCTAGGAGTTCGAGTTCTGCCCTACCTTGAAGACTGGTTGGTTTGGGTTCCCAGCGTGTCTGCTCGCCAGGGGTGTGGTTCTTTCCCAGCTCACCGGATTCGGGTTCCTGGTGAATTGGAGGAAGTCCCATCTGTGGTTCAGTCCCAGGTTCGGACGTGGCTGGGCCTCGTTTGGGACTCTCGGACCTCTTCAGTGTCTCTCCTTCCTGTAACGTTGCTGCGCGTGCAATCCTGCCTTCAACTGTTTCTGGGTGGGTCCAGGCTCACTTGGTGGTTGTTCAAGCAGTTGTGTGGGAGTCTAAACTTTGCCGTTCTAGTTTACCCACTGGGTCGGGTCTGGCTTCGGCGTCTGTTCTGGTTCCTTTTTGGGACGTCCCTTCCACCCTCTCACGAATCCTAGGCTCATTCCTGGTGGGCCTTGCATCGATTGCTGCATCGCCGGTTTCCTCTTCGTGTTTTTCGGGGTTCACTTCCTTGGTGCCTCCCTGAGCCCTGCACGATGTGTTCACGAATGCCTCGTCTCTCAGCTTGGGTTTTGTGACCAGTGCCTGCTAGGGGCAGTGGGCTCCATCCTTCCATCGGGCTTACAGCACAGTGTGGGAGTTTGAGGTGGTGTAGGTTTCACTGCGATGGATTCGGGACTCTACGATCAGGCTCCATTTGGACTGCTCGGTGGTTCATTGTCTGAACTGCAAGGGTTCTCTTCGGTCCTTGGCTCTTTGCAGCTGGTCACTTCGAATGACTCGTCTGCTGGATTCTCAAGAGTTTAGGTTTCCGTGAGGTTCACATCTGGGGAGTGTCCAACATCCTGGTGGACGGCCTATCATGGTTCATTCCCCTGTCCACGGAATGAACGGTCAATGCCGCCTCCCTCAGTTGGCTCTGCCGGATATACAGGCACCCAGAGGGGGGGACCTCTTCATTTGTGTGGTCTCGGCCTCTCTCGATTCATGTGGAGCCGTTGCTTTGGACACTTTTTGGCAGGACTGGTTGAGGTGGGGTTACCTGTACCTCTTTCCCCTAGTCCAGCGGTTACTTCGGATTCTGGCTCAGTTGGAGTCTTATTGCAAGAGACTCATCCTTGTCCTTGTGATTCCCCGTGGTGGCCGGCCCAGCCTTGGTTTCAGGCGCTGTTTGCTAGGTGTCCGAACCCGGGGAGTTTTCCGCAGGTTCTGACAGCTGAGTGGACAGCGCTTCGAATCCGCTGTCCTGAGGTACAGTATTGGGTTCGTTCTCCGGTGGAGGCAGAAACAAATGGGTAGAGTTTGTTTCACCCTGATACCCCTATTACCTAGCAGTAAATAGGCACTTATTTAAATAGGGAAATAGTAATAGGTAGAAGCCCGTAGCAGTTAGACAGCTGATACGGGGTGCTTCCTGGGGGTTGTGTAACAAAAAAGAAGCCTGTTCAAGGACCGGGGACGCTAAGCCCCGAAATCATCTCAAGATAATCTGACCTATCAACCGAGATGTTTCTGTGAGCGTAGTTCAGGGATTAAGGTTCTCTGGTTAGCTGATGGTTTTCTGTCATCACCCACTCATATATTATGAATTCTCTTCTAGTAATATTTCATCAGTTCCAACACTTGCAGGTGCTGTATGCGTGAAAACATCCAACATCAGCATTTGATTCCGATTTTGTTATTTAAATAAATCCAACTATAATGTTACCATGTAGAGAAACACCAAGAACATAGACATCATCTGTAAGAAGCCCACGCAGGCAAAACATCAGTGTGTTTCTGTACATTATTAGCACTTTGTACTCTCAACAGCCACGAATATCATTTATAATTGTAAACATTAAAAGGCTTTGATATTTTCACATTTTTTGTTGCTTGCATTACATGTAAGTTTGTATTCTAGGCAAAGTTCATGGAAGGCGTGAAGGAGGTATGCAACTCACAATTCCTGTCAGCAATGTCGGAACTGTGCCATATGGACACTAGTTTAGCAGAGTGGGTGTGGCTTCATTTCTTCCCAAGACTTTGGAAAATTCTTAGTGAGAAACAACAACAGGTTTGTAAATTACTGCACTTTGAGTATCTATTAATGAATTTAATATTGAATGTCTGATATCTATATATTAGTATAATTATATTATTTACACCACCTCTTCAATGGCACAGTAGTTATGACACACAGTAGTTATGATAGTCGAGAGGCAGAACCAAAAACCCAAAGCTCAACCTCTGCAAGCACAATTAGGTGAGTACACCTTCACTCTTTTGGTGGCAACATTCGTTTTCTGTTTGTGACTATTATCCTGGGGCTGTATATTAGCAATCCCATAATATTGTTGTGTGCATTACATTCCTTAATAATGTTGCCATCCATGTACAATATGTAATGCTTGAATGAACTATAAAGGGTGCAGCTGATTTGTTTCGTCAGAGATTTCATTGGATCTGTCAGACCCATGGAACCCCTTTCCCCAAAAAATATTTGCAGGGCCTATAGCTATATAAACTTTGGGTAAACAGGGAATCTCAGGTTTTCCATCTTGCCTGCATTGACAGGGTTTACCAACATAGCTGGCCCAACTGCCTGGGCCTGCTAGGCCTGCAGGGTGAATGAGCCCTACAAGCCCTGGAAAACCCTTGCATGCTCCGTTGTACTATAGATGCCTCTTTTTCAACCTGCTCTAGCTTTGTACAAATTTGAAGGTTGTTTGTTGCCTGTGCCAACGGGCGACATTCATACGTTCTGCCTTCACCATGCTGCTTGTTGGGTCGGTGACACCTGTGACCCCCGAGTCAAGTGGGACTTGTTCCCCCCATGTGCTACATCTCACCCATTCCTTGATGGATGTTCTGAGGTATCAAGCAGCAGTTACTTTGTATTACAGCTTTTCTTTTCTGTGGGGAGCCCCACAAAAAAGGGGCATGAAAAAGCTTGATTCAGGTTGTGGTGGCCCATCTTTGTCTGCTATGTCCTTGAGATTTCCCATCGTCTCCCTGAAGCTAACCGAACTGATATGAGCTAAATTAGTTTTTAGGTCATCAGTCACAGGGAGTTCCTATGCCTACCGGGAACTAGAGCTAGAACCTGGTCCCCTCAGAGAGGCGCAGGGAGCAATAGCACATGAGCACTTTACACTTATGTCATATTCCGCCATCGACTGGGGTGGGCATCCCGGGCACAAAACTCCCGAAGACACACAACAAATAAACAAACTGGCAGCCAGAGAGAATCGTCGGCTGCCACGTGTGCAATCTGCGCCAGCTACAGTGCGCCCCACCCAGCCAATAACACTTCCCCACCCAGGGCAAGACGGAGAGCCAAAGACTCCTGACATACCCGAAGGGCGAAGACAATGTCAAGCGACGAAATCCTCAAACTGGAGTGATTCCCAAATGCCCCGGGCAAGATAACCCTGACATGAAAGGGTAGTTCTTATGGAGCACCTAAAGAAGGTAACCCTAAGCACATGCTGCTCCTGTACACTAAGACAACTGGCCACCACACCATCGGCCAAAAAATGCTGTTTCATTACGTTCAACACTGGTTTTCTGTGGGGAGCCCCTACGGCTCCCTGGAGCTTATCGGGTTAATGTATGTTATATTAGAGAACCTGGCCCCTTCAGAGAGGTTTCAGGGAGCAATGGCCCTGCAAAACCCCCTTGTGGTTGGGGTTTTCCTTATGTGCCATCGACCGGGGTTAGGCACCCAGAAAGGTAGGCATAACAAAACAAACCCCACATGGTAAAAAACTAAAACAAAAAAACGAACAGAGCGGTAGAAACTCCCTACAATCCCAAGGAAACAAGCAAACATCACACTTTACTGCCGTTCCGATCGTCCATGCAGCCCTTCCCGCCCCGAGAGGGGGAGCTCCGGACCTACCGCGCCGGCTGCTTAGCTTCAGTTCGTAAGCTAAAGTCAACCGGGATAGACGCTTTTCTGGCCTCAGTTTCCTACGCGGCGTTTGCCTTGTGTGGCGTTCACTGACGTGTGTTGTGTTGTGCGGTGGCCAGGAGTACCTCAACTGTGCCGGGGCTGCATGCGCTTAGGGGCTTCCTTCCCTAAGCGCCCTGTGAGTACTGCCCCTGCGTGACAGGATTATCTTCCCTGGGGCGTTCGGGAACCATTCCCGTAGAGGTTCTTGCTGCTCTGCATTTGCCTCGCCCTTAGGGCCAGCAGGGGCTTGGGGCCCTTGTTTGGCCCTGGGTAAGGCAACCGGTTCCTGTTGCCTCTGAAGATGGTGTCCTTTTGCGGGGGGGGGGGGGGGGGGTTCTTTTGTTTTTAATTTCATTTGCCTGGTGGGGGTCTGCCCAGTGTGGCTATAGTTCCACTGGTAGTGTTTGGCGGCCCTCTGCTAGGCCCCCGTGATTGTACACGTCGCAGGGGTTTTCAGTGCTATACTCAACACTCTTGTTATTTTTGGGTTTCTTAACCGGTTAGCAACACCTTGCCCGGGCTTCCCGTAGCAGTCAGCCTACAGGCCCTGGAAATCCCTGTCTGGGCTTGGTGGACCATTGAATGTGTCTTTCAGGTTCCAACCCGTCTTGTACAGGATTGGAACGAGTGCTGTGGTGAGCCTGCAGCGAGGAAATCAGCAAGGAGTGGCGGAGCGCAGGCCCCTCAGGCTGCTCAGAAAGTTAACACTTTCGCCCGGGCATGACGCAGCATTGCGTCATCCGTTTACTGGCGGTAATACCGGGGATGACGCAGCATTGCGTCATCCACTTTAAATAATCGCCAAAAATCAGGTTTTTATCCGATTTTTTTGGGACTTGTTTTAAAATGCGCGCCGATGTCTTCCCATTTTCTTTGTTGAGCCTCGTGGCCCTCAGGCAGCTTGGCACACGCTGTGGGCCCATTGTTTTCGCTCCACTGTTGTGACCAATGTTGCCTCCACTCGCATCTCAAACGTGTGAACATTTCGGCTATTTTCTGTGGCTATATTTCTTACTGCGGCTTTAGAAACTATCTACGCTTACTCCATGATGGATAGTGATCATGAACAAGGCCCTTCCAGGAAGAAAATTGCGAAAAAAAGGCTTGAAAAGGGCGGGAATTGGGAGTGTAGCTGGAAGGCATCTGAGCACTCACTTGTAACGCGTGGCCCGTCTTCAACTCGTCGGCGGTTGGAGCGTGACCATGTTTTTTATTTTATATGCTAATGTTCCTATAGAGAATTCTATTGCGAACCCATTGAGACCAAAATGAAAGACCTAGTTCGAAAATTGAGGTGACCAGAGTGAAAATAGTGAAAACATTTTATCGCGTTTGCGCGCTCCTGGGAAAATCGTTCGCACTTTCTCTGTTTGCTGCGGGTAATTAGCCGGGCTTTTGGAGTTTATATGCATTTAGTGCTGTAGAGAATTCTATTGCGAACACAATGATACAAAATTTAATCTCGTAGGACGAGAATTAAGGTGACAAAGTTGAAGAGAGTATACACTTTTCAGAATTTACGCGCACTCCCGTGACACCCTGGGTCCCATATCGCACAGTTGAGGGGTGGCGGGCGGGGTGCGCGAAAGTGTTAAGGAGGTACCGAAGCGAATTTTGGTTGTGGGAGATTCCCAGGTGAGGTATTTAGACAGAACGTTTTGTGCCAGAGATAGGGGGAACAGGTTGAGGGTTTGCTATCCGGGAGCTGGAATTGGTGATATTGTTGGAAACATGAATGATATTATGACGGGAAATGGGAACAAACCCATTATTTGTATTAGTGCAGGGGGTAATGATGTTGGACGAGTTAGGAGTGAGGAACTAATACAGAGATTCAGGACAGCCATTGAATTAGTTAGGAGCAAGGGAGGAATCCCGATCATATGTGGCATTCTTCCAAGAAAGGGAGTGGGAAATGAATGGATGTCAAGGACACTTGGTGTCAATTGCCGGCTGGAAAGATATTGCAAATCAAATGCAATATCTTTCATAGACAACTGGGAACACTTCTATGGAAGAAATGAAATGTATGCTCGTGATGGGGTGCATCTATCAAGGGCTGGGGTTGTTGCTGTTGCGAACTCGTTGGAACCAGTGGTTAGAGGTGTTTGTTTGGGTTTAAACTGTTAGTAGATAGTGGTATGGGAATTGATTTGGAGGAAGGAGGTAATAAAAGTATGTGTTCGTGGGAGAAAAGAATTGGCAAAAAGATCAGGGAAAGAAAAGGGCCTCAAAATAACAATTCACTTAGGATATATTACACTAACAGTAGAAGTCTAAGAAATAAAATTAAAGAATTAAATGCTCTTGTCTGCACAGAAAAAATAGATATTATTGCACTTACCGAAATTTGGATGAATGTAGAAAATAGAGAACTATTAGCTGAATATCAGATAAATGGATTTAAACTATTTCACACACAGAAACTATTTGGATAGAATTAAACGAAAAAGCAAATAATATTATAATAGGAGTTATATATAGGCCACCAAATTTAGACAGAATGGAAGCAAAGCATCTATGGGATGAAATATCTAGAGCATCTAGATCTAACAGTATTTATGTCATGGGTGACTTTAATTTTAGTGGAATAAACTGGGTGAACAAAACAGGGAATAGTGAAGCAGAAGATTTTCTAGAATTAATTGACGATTGCTTTCTTACGCAACACATTAAGGAACCAACGCGGGAAAATAATATTTTAGATTTAGTGTTAACTAACAGGGAAACACAAATTAATGACATCGAAATAGGGAGTGAGCTAGGGAACAGTGATCACAAAGTAATCAGATTTAGCATAGAATAGAATAGACCTGTAGGAGAAAATTCTGTTAACACTTTTCTGGATTTTCGATTTGGAATTACGGGCGTTTTCCCTAACCGCTTGTCGGATCACGACGTAAATTTACGGTGCGGTTTAAAATATTTGTAAAAAATCCAGTTTAAATCCGATTTACTTGGGGTTTGTTTCAAACTCCGCGCCATGAAATTCCCGTTCTCTCGGGTAGGCCGCAAGTCACGTCGGCCTACTGGGTCACGTGACAGGCTGTGACCCAGTGATCCGTCACGTGATCGGATCTCTCTCCCCTCGGCCGCCAAACTCGCACGTTTTCAAGGAT